TAATTAATTGTTTGTTTTTTGAAATTAAATAATTCATTACACACTTAATAAAAGAATAGTATGCAAGATTAATAATACCTTCTGTTAGCTGAAAACCTCCACAAAGTGTTCTGCAGTTGCTTAATGGCTTCATTTGCTTGCTTATTCCAGAGCTGCAGATCTGAGCATGTGCGACCACACTCAAATTTTGGAGCACATGCTTCTTTAATTAATAAAATGGCGGCATGCAGCTAAGATGGGCCCGATCCAGCAGTGACAGTACAACTTCTTCCTTTGTTGGAGAATTGTCATAAAGAATAGGGACCTGCGCATGCATTATCAGAGTAGAATGGTGTAAGAATTAGCCTTTCATCACCAAGCAAAGTTACGATACAGACCAACAACTGGATTGACAGGACTTGATGTTAATGATAATGAAGATGAAAAAAGTGGCTGAACAAAACGGCTGTTTTCCGGATTTTTGGCTTTCCTCTCAGACAAGGTTTAGAGCCACACTTGTGGTACCAATGGAGTCCTCTGGTCAAGATAAGGTCCTCTATAAAGTCTGGTAAGCATAGGAGCTCGTTTTCCCGGTATAGCAAGGCTGCAAAAGTCGTGGCAGCCATTTTGAAGTGGGGTGAATCCTACTTTGTAACGCTACTGCGTTACTAATAACATTGATATTGCCTTCTGAACACAGATAGCAATAAAGTTACCATTGCAATTCCTCGCAATCATTACTTTTGTAATAACCAGACATTGCATCATGTATCCACCATTCATCTACTGTGTATTGAATATTTTTCATTTTGTACTTACTTTTGCTAACACCATTTGCTTTCAAGTATTTACTTCTATTTTGCTCTAAATATTTATTAAGTTTTATTTTTAAAAAGTAGTGGTTTATTATTATTTAGGTGGTAGCCTATATGTAGTTGATGATTCAAGATGGCGGCCAAATTTATCATTTTAAAACACTTCTAACTCTTTTATCTTACCTTATAAAACCTCATAAATGGCTTATCTGAGCCCTCCTTCACTGAGAAATTCTCCTGGTATCTTTAAAGTGGACTGCAATGTAGCGGGAGCAATTCTAGAGAATAGACCCGATTTCAAATTTCTGCAAAATTCTTCAGACTTTTTCTTCTTTCATCTTCTTCTATCGGCACTCTAATGATTTAAGCTAGTACACTGCTTTGGCTGGCTTTTACACCATTCCTTGGCTCTTTGAACAAGGGCTACAAAGGTAGTTTCAGAATCTTAATTTATTTCTCGGTCAAATAAGAAGTAATAATGGGCGTGATATAACGCCCTATATCAGTCGCCATTTTAAAAATTTTATGCATGCGCAGAGTTGCCATAGTGATTAGTCTGACTAGTGACTGCCACTCTACTTTTCTATAGCACAGTACCGCTGAATATTGCTCTATTCATTCTCTTCTGCTTACTAGTAAAGAGTGCGCAGAGTAAGAGATCACCAGTTCTTTTAAGAGCTACACTAATAGATTAGTAAAATAAAATTAAAAATGTTAATTCTCCCTGAAATTAGAGTGACTTCAAATTCAGCTGCTCTGTTATTTGAAGAAATTTTGTCAGCTGCACTTCATATATAATATCTAGATAGTACTGTCAATGCCTTATTGGATAAAAAAGATAAGTGTTGTGTTTACAATGCTATTTATCTGTAGTACTGATTTTAGTACCTACATGTTTCGTCCATACTTAATGTTATTGTACTTGTTTGTAGTTTTAGTCCTAAGTATAATTGTTTCAGTGTTAGTTGTAAGAATGGGAAGTAGAAAAAGGAAAAGTACTTTAACTGGGGCGAAATCTAAAGAAAAAAAGAAGAAACAATATAAAAATTGAAAGCAATTGGAAGGTTTTGTTGCAAAGAATAAATCAAATGCCAGAGCATACTACATAAGACAATGTAACAGGGTCAAAAGCAGAGCAAGAATTCCATATAAAATCAATAGAAAATATAAGCTTGCTTATTCAAAGCAGTTCA